CCCCAAAACCCCAAAACCCCTAATGATTGCATTAGAGTAGATTAAAAGATTGTGGATATTTTTAATATAAATCAAGCTTAAGTAAGCATGAGGACATTTGCCAAGATGAGATTTTTGTTTTGTTTTTCACATGTATTCGAATGAACCAACAAAAATGAGATTTGTAAGGGCTTTTGCGAATTCAAGAAATCTGTTTACTTAGCTGTCTTTCCCTTCGCTGTTAACAGGCCCTTATTAGCAATCTTCTAAAAAAACATGATCTGTCAAATTTTAACTTCCCGTTTAGACTAAGGCTATACCTTGATTTAAAGGAGTAGAGTTTGATGTATGATTCTTAAGGCCATTGGCTAGGATTAACTTAGAACTTCCTAAGTCATAAACCAAAGTGCCAATATTTGCGAAAGACATACCCTCAAATTATTTACTATCGGTAAAAGAATTAGGGTTATAGTATGCTTCCTACCTAAAAAATTCTGCAAACTATCTTAAAATCTCGAGAGTATCCTTATTTCTGTTATTTAGGAAAGGTTTGCCATATTCAAGTACTTGATATTCAGGATGATAAAGAGTTCCATATATCGGATAGTTGAAAGCTTCCACTGAAGCAACAAACTCAAGATTACCTTATTCAATTAGTGTGTCAGTTTAGAGTATCTTAAAGAAACTTGAGATTTTCTAATTATTTTTAAAGTCTGCAAGAGGCACTCCAAAGTCATGATAGTGAAAAGCTAGCTTCTGAGTTTAAAATTTATCTAGTAAGATTTAATCAAAACGCGAGAATAATCTCGATTCAGTTTTAGGATCCTTTATTGCCCAGAATGTCTCTCTATTGGTGTTAATAGACCTGACAACTTTCAGAGTGTAGATATCACCAGCTGCTAACATCGTAAACAGTTAGTATCCTTGACATAGTCCAAAAAGTGGAAATTTAATATTCAGTCTGTCCTTTTGATCAATGGAATAGTTGAAAATCAATTTAGATGTTGCATAGTATAGGTGCTATTCATTTGTCGCAGGATTGATTAGATCAAGACCTCCTCCAGTAAATAATACTCCGTTGATCTTTGCAAGCAAATCTAGTAGTTCATT